AGAATTAATTTAGAGGGAGAAAAGAAATTCAATAGCTTAAACTCTCTCTTGCAAATATTGGTCTTTTAATGCACAGTTGAGTAGAGTTAGGGTTTAAATAGTTGGTGACTTAACAGAAAGCATTTTTGACTAAAATTGCAGGATGTTCTAAATGAGCCATATCTTCACTAATCTTGAAGAATCACTTTGATAGGTATCATCTGAAAAAAGACCCTGCTTTTTGGTAGGTAAAGTTGGGAAGAAAGCCTGATAGCATTCTCCAAATGTCCATGCCCTTTCATCTGGTTCTTTCCTCCAGCCACTAAGATTTGGTGATTTCCTATTTTTCCCCTCTTCTGGAGGGTTGAAATGTTTCTCTTGAAGCTTAGTTACTGGGAAGAGGAAATATATGCTAAAATATGCTGGCATATTGGCTCCACCTCTTTTGCCTTTGATCCCAAAATGGATCTAAAAATGCATTTGACCCTCGGGCCGGAAGAGGCTTCCCATAGCAAATGCAGAGTATGATCCACAAAAATGTTTCTCTGCACTGATGTGATGCCTCTGCAATCAACCAAGCCAGGAACAAATCTCAGGCAGACACGGTATTACACACTCCAAAGTTCTGCAGCTATCCCGGCACTGTTTTTCCTTGGTTTGCTGGTTTTGCAGTTCTTCTGACCAATTCCATAACCTCCCAGCACTGCTTGGGAGGAAGATTGCATTGATTCAACAGCTGGTTTTGTGGACTGCAACCTTAATGATTCTATGGTCTGTGATATCTTTCATAAACTTCAGTATTTAAATACATTTCTTGAGAAAAAATGATTATCCAGTTAGTAATAGACACTACATAGAAATGAAATATTCTATATAAAAGTAATTATTTTTACCTTTTTACACTTTTTTGGAAAATTGATGACAGAGTTGTTCCTCAAAGTTGGTGTGGAGTAGCAGCTGCAAGGAAAGTTTCCCTTGGAAAAGAAACTAAAACATTCTCCATTTCTCTCTCTCATGTGCCCTTCATAAAGGTTTGTGCTGTGAATTTCCAGATTATTACTACAGCAACTTCCTTCCTTTATGGGAAATGCAGAAAGTCTGAGCCAAAGAAAGCAGAGGACCCTGTGAAAGCAGAGAAAGAAAGCAAATCAGTGTTCCAAGGCAGGGCCAAAGTTAATGAGAATCAGTTTCTGTCATACTGTAGGAGGAGCAATATACAGTGGTACCTCGGCTCACGAACGCCTCAGTTCACGACCAAATTGGGTCGTGAACAGAAATTTAAGAAAAATTATTACTCTGGTCATGAACTCCACATCAGGTGACGATTGCGATCATGCCCGTCTCCACCAACAGTGCGCCTGCGCTTAAGCCCGTTTCCTCACCTGAGTGCGCCCGCGCTCATGCCCGTTTCCTCCCCTGTGTGCGCCCTTCTCCCCCCCCAAGCGTGCCTGCAATTGCACCTGTCTCCCCCCCCCCGAGCGCACCCGCGATTGCGCCCGTCTATGGCCGTGATTGTGGTCACAGTTGTGCAGAGAAGACAGGTGCGATCGTGATCGTGCTGGGGCGGGGGGGAAATGGATGCGCTTGTGCTGGGGGGTGGGGGGAGATGGTCGCGATCTTTGTTGTTCTTTGTCACTTTACTTCAATTTTTTGTGATTAAAAAAATAGTTACAGAACATATTAATCTTATTTACATTGAACCTTATGAGGAAATTTGACTTGGCTCACGACCAGTTTGGGTCACAACCAGAGTCGTGGAACGGATTCAGTTCATGAGCCAAGGTACCACTGTAGCTCTTTCAAAGATTAGTTAGTTCCATGCTTTTTGTTCTGTGCTGGTATATAGATGGAGCGCAGGAGCCGTGTGGGTATGCCTGCATACAAATGCACATAGAAACCCACACATGTTCACTAATCCTGAATAGTTTGGAGGGAGGGACAGTACCTGCAAATAGTACCTCCAAAGGGCAAGCTAAGAATGTCTCCGTCATCTTTGTTTATGTGTGACAGGAATAATCCTTCCAATTGAAGAAAATGATTCTTGAAAGCCCTCCATGTGTATGGGAAACTAATGGGAGTCATTTACTTCTCTGGAATTTCTACAAAGCATTACTATTATGTGACTCTGGCCTAACATACTGCACTAGTGTCTATGGATTATCCCTTTCCACTGGCATCAGGCCATGTAGGATATAATTTAAATCCTAATGATACCATGGCTAATGAAGATTGCCCTTTAGGTAACAAATGCTCAGTGTTAACACCATCCTCTGAATGCACAGGAATGAATGTCTGCTTGTGCTCATCCATGCAAATGAAAAGATCCAGAAGGCTCCCAAGTTCAGCTGTTGACTTGATAATGAATCGATAACATCAGGAATAGCTTTTCTAGAAGGAAAGACTTTAGCTCTTATTTCCAGAGGTCTACCCTGTTGTTGCTCATGTGGTTACTATTTTAAGATTCTTTTAGCATTAAGAATATATTAGGCTCTTTACAGAATATAGAGGAAGCGAGATCTTATAAAGGTAGGCTGTTATTCTTATCATTATGTTGTTTTCTTATCATTATGTTTTTTTTAAAGATAAGAACAGTGTTCTGCTGAAGTCTTTCTGGTGAGTGAGTAGGGCTTCAGATATTCTGGCTCTCTATTCATGCCATGGAATTATTGAACATTGTCCTGAAACTCTAGCTCTGGAATCCGTTTGTTCTGGATGACAGGGCTTAAAGAGCTGCCAAGAACTCCAGAAAGCTGCATACTGAAAAGCCATCCTGAACTTGTAACTGTGCAAGAATTTAATTAAAGGGAAGGTCTCCCTGTCAGGGGGAAATTCCTGGAAATGTCTACTTAACTGTCACGACACTTTTCAGCTGACTGCTATGAGGATACCATTTGAGCGAGCAGAAAAACAGATAAAATCCTGAAGCATTTTCACCTACCTACCTACCTTCCAGTTCAGTGATATCAAAGCCTAGGGACCCTCATTCAGAGCACCCTTTTTAATTTGAATACTAGGCTAGGCTACACTGATTAGCTAGCTGTGTGTAACATTAACCAATTAATCAAGATACTTCAATTGGTTCAAAATAGAGCTGCCAGGCTGCTAACAGGGATGGGGCGTTATGTTCACATGACTCCAGTTCTCCGTCAGCTTCACTGGCTCCCCATTGAAGTCCGGGCCCAATTTAAGGTGTTGGTTATGACCTATAAAGCCCTTAATGGCTTGGGTCCTGGTTACCTAAGGAGCGCTTACGTCCATATGTGCCCACCCGCCCCTTGAGATCAGCAGGAGAGGCCCTTCTCTGGGAACCCTCCGTGAAGGATATTAGGAGGGTAAGTACTTGGAGGAGGGTTTTCTCTGCAGTGGCACCCAATCTATGGAATGCGCTCTCCAGAGAGGTCCGCCTGGCGCTGTCGTTATTTGTTTTTCGGCGCCAGGTCAAGACCTTTTTATTTAAACGTCATTTTAATTGCTAATATTATTTATTTATTTTACATCTTTGGCCGGGACATCTCCAATTACATTGTTTTTATATTTTTATTATTTATTTATTGTTGTGAGCTGCCCCGAGGCTTCAGCAAATGGGGCAGCATAGAAGCTTTCTAAATAAATAAATAAATGCTAGAGAACTCTAGCTTACCGTAAAAGCCTGCATGCTTGTAGATATAGCCTATTTGCTTCCATGTTCCTCCTTTATTTATTATATTTATAGTCCACCTTGTTAGAGCAAGTGGCTAAACATACCAGAACTGGTTTAGTTAGAATGTCATCTTGACCCATGATCCTGGTTCCCTTTAAAAGCCATTTGGGTGCAACAAGCCATGACCCCTGATTTAGGCAAGATGTTCAGAAAATTATTTCTGATTTGTTTACCCACTTGTGTTAGTAGGAGGAGCCAAGTGGGAGTGAATGAGTTAAATGTACAAGCACAAAACTTGTTCAAGATAAGTCAATGTTATCTATAATCTTAACTTACCATACTGTGCAAATGAAGTGAGTGACTCTTTAGAAGCCAGTAAGGTGTACGTATTAGATACATATTAAAACATTTAAGTATGGAGACTTGTAAGCAAATGCATTTGAGTATAAAGAAGATATAATGTACTTACGGAGTATAATAGAGTAGTAGTTAAACCATGGTATAACCATTGGCACCCTAATACATGTTCATATACTTAGGGATGCTTCTTAAATTCTTTTTGTTGAAATGTCTATCCAGATGTTAGAGTTCTGAATTATCATGTTGTGCTTCCAAAGCTAAACAGGTACATTAGGAATCTTCCGTTTTTCTAACTTGCATTCTCCCCCACCCCATGTTTTTTACGTCAACAATATCCCACAACTCTTAGTTCCTTCAGTTCATCCTTGTATTCTTTTCTCTTTTAGAGTAACATACACATGCAAACTGGTAAAAAATAAACATTCTTAATTTAATTGTGGATATTATTGTTTCAAGATTTTTTCTGTGTGGTGCTTTGCCATAAACCACAAATTAATGGTGGCTGACAAAACTTGTGGTTGACAAAACACTGGTGTGTGCTGGAAAAAAAAACTCTTACTGTGAGGTTATAATCTTTACATTATAGTGAGGGAAATTTGCTTGGCATTTTATTAATGTGAAGGAGTACATGTGTGTGTCAGCAACACTATGATCACATCAACACCATTCTTTTATCCAGTATTCTTTCAATGCATGTGTGCACATTGATAATATGGGACAAACCGGGAGGCTTAAGTGAATTGAAGTAATTAATTTCAAAAATCCATTTAATTCAAGAAGAATTCAAGAAAAAAACAACTGAGTGAAACCAGAAAGGAAATGAACTAGGGGAAAAAACACTCTTCCCTAAGTATGTTATTGGAAAGAACACCAATAATATATCTTGCCTATTACTTTCTGACTGATATTTTAAAATAAAGCAAAGATTATTTTGAGCAAATGTAAAAATGTGTCTTCAAAATATTAAGAGAGATTGTTTTTTAAAAGAGACCTTTACTCTGTTTTGTTTTGTTTTTAATAGGTATCTGGCCTTCTGAAGAGGTACTAGCTTACTACTGCCTCAAGCACCATGAAATTTTCAGGTACAAAAACAACCCAGAAAAAACCCTTTCCAATCCATTAGGTTTATTATATTTGCATAGCAGAGATTGTTATGATTTAAGTTGTCAGATTGAGTTTTTAGAAGTTCAAAGTGAAAGAGTGTTGCTCTTAACAAAGAATTTGGAGCTGCCGTTGGGTACTAATATTGCACAGCAAGCTTTCTGCTATATGTCAAAGACTTTTGATTTCCACTCAAGGCGTTTTATTTCACTTTGATTTTTGGGAAACAAAAGTGAAGCGCCAATCGATCAGCACTGATTGTGAAGGTCAAGCAGGGGGGTGGGGGGAGGCTGACTCCCATTCTGAAGGTCAGCAAAGTATTGTCTGGGAAGGAGGGTCATATTTTTTTTGAAAAGAGCTTTGGCACTAGAGTATTTCAGAGTACATGTACATGTTCTGTCAATGTGTTTCTGTGTATTTGCAGGCACTATAGGCTACTGGACCTAGAACAATACAGAAAACATAATAGACAAAATTTCTTGGTCTTGGTGGTCTTAAGAAATTTACATGTGGGACAACCCCAGGAACTCTGTTGGCTAAAGGTGAACTGAAAAAAGTAGGGAAGTTTTTGGAACTATTTGCCATGTATGCCTTCCCCTTCACTATTTTTTCCCAGGGGAACTGTAAAAGATACAGCTGGAGCAGGGGAATGCATTGCTGTTGCCAAGGCAAAATAAGTAATGCTCCATCTCAACAAAAATGCCACTCCCGATTAATTTTCCCATGTATTAAAGGCTATTTAGGGGTGGGAGAAAGGGAGTTCAATTATTCATTGTGATGACTCAGTATAAAAACATTTGAAAGGTTTGTGGGCTTTCCACAGGTGAGTGAAGTGGCACCTGAGGTATCTTTTGTTCTTCAAAAAGTTTATCATCTCCATTTTTCTCTAGAATGTCCCATAATTGGACTACACCTGAGCATTCTAGGTGGGAAAAATTGTAGCTTCCACTTGCTGCTAAGAGTTCCATTACTGCTGATATGACAAATAGTAGTGGTAAAACAATAAAGAAAATATAATAAAGAAAAAAGATCACTGTGCTTTTGCCTGAGGTAATCCACCAAAACGTTCATACTTTTTCACACACGTGAAATTGTCTTCCCATTTCTATCCCAACCTAGTTTTAAGACAAAAATTCTTTAGTCTGACTTGGCGCTAAATCATCATCACTGTCATCACCATGTCTTCCAAAATTATTCAGAGCAATCAAGAGCAGTGAGACTGGAAGCATCCCAATTGCCATGGTCAATGTTATTGGGCAGTTTCATAGTGAGGCAGGGGTCTCTTGTAGGCCCTAAGCATTTGGGGATTTGAAGGTTGAAACCAACACCTTGAATTGTGACTGGAAAGCAATTGGCAACCAGTGCAGGTCTTTCAGAACCAAATATAATATTGTTACTACACAACTCACGGTTAGCAGCCTAGCAGCTTTATTTTGCAACAGTTGAAGCTTTTGGACAATTTTCAAGGGTAGCCGCACAATTGCAATTGTTACAATTGCCTAAAAGTAATGTAGAAAGACATTGATAAATATTGCCAAATCAACTCAGGACCCACCACAACTGGTGCTCCAAGCATAATTGTGCAAACATACACCTTCCCCCTGCTGCCACCAGCAGATGCAGAGACAGCAGTAGGTCAAGGAGTCCTCCAATCGCCGAATTGGGGCTTACTCCTGTTACCTCTATATTGTTTGGGTTTAGCTGCAGCTTCCATCCCGTTATTGAACATAGGCAACATTCAAGTGTTTCCATTGCTTCAATGGTGTTAGGTGACAAAGAGCAGTGATGCTGTGTGTCATCAGCATCCAGAGTTCCAAACAACCTCTTCCAGCTATTTCATGTAAGTATTAAACAACATGGAGGACACGATAGAACCTTGTTTGTCACAACAGGCTGCATATTCAAATATTAATCTCTCAGCATCTCCTTTCGAACATGGCCTGAAAGAAAGGACCAGAATTACTGCAAAACAGCATCTCCGAAGCCCAGCATCAACAGGCAGTCCAGATGAATACTATGGCTGAAGGCACTGAAAGCTGCAAAGAGTTCCAAGTGAACTAATAGGATGCTACCACCCCATTCAATTCCTATGTACCTGGATTTGTAATACCACCACTTTCTTAGTCACCTTAGTCAAGAATGATATATTTATGACTGGCTTATAATTAAACATCTTCCAGGTCAAAATAACTTTCTTCAAGAAAGAATTTATTATTGCCTCTTTTAGGTAAGAGGGAACGACCCTCTCCCAGAAAGCCATTAATCACTTCTCTTTGCCATGGTATCAGTCCTGCCCAGGATCTGCACCATTTCAAATATCATGTCCCCCATTCTTGATATCCACAAGCTAAAAAGAATACAAAACTACTGGACAAGCAGTAGCTGAGTAGCTTGATTCAGGCTTTGTCCAATATTGGAGTCCAAGTCAAGTCAACTCATAAATTAGGTTAGGCTAAAAGACAGCAGCTTGCCAAAAATCACCCAGTGAGCTTCAAACAATTAAGAGTTAAAGAGATGACTTCCACATACTCTTTTCAGTAGCAGATGGAGATGGATGCATGCCTGTCCACATTTTGCAGTACTCCTGGGCTTAATAAAAAAGTGGTCCAGGGGCATAGGCCTGTTCCTCACTTCTGCCTAATACAGATATCCGTCAGGCATATGGAATGATGAACAGACTAACTATATTATAAACGAATATCTGTTTTAATAGTTCACTGATTATACTTTCCACATCACAAGTATAGGCGTGGGATCAGCTTATCATAAGATTAATTTCAAATTGCTTATTAGCCAGTTACTTGCTAATGCAGCATCCATTCAATAGAGTTTCACAATATTTTGTTATATTTATACATCTTTGTAAAGTATATTTGAATCTTTCAAGCATAATTGCAGGCATGCTGTTGGGTGGGGGCTATTCCCCCCCCACCTGTGTTTCAGACTACAAATTATTATCCTCAGGAGTATATTTGTAGTTTTCAGTGATATTTGAAAGTATTATTATTGTATGTCATCTGGAGAGCTATTAACTATAGGGCACACATGCATCTCAGAAATACATAGATGAAATCTCTGTGCTGTCTGTCCTACATTTGGACTCTGTGACTGTGCAAAGCATGTCTAGTATCTCCAAGAACTCTCTGTTAGTATCTCTATAGCCTTTCTTGGGAGATTAGCTCTGACTGGAAGGATGATTCTAGAATTTCTGATAAGGTCACCTGAGTATCAAAAACCTCATTTTATTATGTGGTAGGCCATCTTTCACCAACCGGGTACCCTCCAGATGCTTTGGACTTCCATCAGGCCCAGCTAGCACAGCTAAGAGAAATTCTAGTAATTGTAGTCCTAAACATCTAGGGGACATCAGGATAGGGAAGGGTGTTGTGGGTGCTAAACCTCCATCCACAGCAATGATCTGTGGATCTATTTTGAATAAATATTGCATGTGGCACACTCACTTGGGTTCAGAGCTAAGTAAGTACCTCCAGCCAATGACTCAGTCAGTGTTCCAAGGTGTTCCCTTGGATATAGTACTGGCTGTCATCCTTACTGTGCTTCCAAGCTTTCTTGCATATGGCTAAGCAATTGTGGCTAAAACTTTACCAATTCCTTCTAGACCACATTCCCAAAAGAACATGTAATGAGTGCAAAACTGGGGGGGGGGGTTATTCTGTATAGTATATGCAGTGCCTTTTCATTCTATTATTTCTTCTGAACTCAAGATGAATGTAGCCAAATTATTTCCCTCTTATGCTCTGTGCCCCTACAGATAATATGCTACCTGCCTGCCACAGAGCTGCTTGTTTCTCTAAAGTTATGGCTCCATCTGTTGTTTTCCAGAGACATGTATACCTGCTGTACAACTCACTGGTAAAATGGATAGAAAGAACCTTTCCCACTTCCCACAGAGGAAGGCTTATTTAGCATTCAAACCAATGATAGTCTTGAACATTTAAAGATGATACTTTAAAAAGGATCAAATCTACTACTGATTACCTGGAAATTACCCTTTAGACTTCAAAACTGAAATAGTACAATGTCTTCTGTACAGAGATCTTACCAGTCTTCTGCAATGCATCAATCAAATCCCAATTGTACCCAGATTCCAGTCTATTTTGATGTGGCTGTGAATCTGAGTTCCTGCTGAACACCCCAGCATTTGTTTGGCACTTGCCAGGAATCCAGCCTCACACGAGTGCTGCACAAACAGCATCCCTCTTCTTTGCTGCATGCAGCAACTTTTGTTTATGTTGTTCCAGATAATATGGAAGAAGTTTGTTCGCATGGCACTCACCTGGAACGGAGCTCTGCCCAAACACTACATATGCAGTATCCCTCTTCCATGCCATGTACAGCAGCCTTTGTTTGTACAAATGTACCTGAAGTGGAAGATTGTCACTGGTTGTACATCCTTCGCTCTGCAAGTGTTTCCTTTTGATTTAGCTTCCTTTCCAAGGCCAAGCCAAGCACCAGAAGAAGCCCACAACTGCTAGTGGGATGGAGTCTCTGCTGCTTCTACATGTCCTTAGCCTTAATTTTATATCTTTGATTCTTCCCACAATCAATTATTGTACAGAGGGGAGCCACCTCTTGCACATTATTGTATGCTGAGGAGAAAGAAGCAGAGCAGCAAGGAGGGGTGGAAGAGATGGTAGTTTCAAGGTTACCTAGTGTAGTTTCTCAAGCGGAGTGTGAGAACCAGCCCATCTTGGAAAAGGAAAGAGACTTTTTAGAACTGGAGTGGCAGGGATTCAAAGGAGGTTCCTTGACCCAGTCAGGTGAAGCAAGCAGGTCAATCAGGAAGTGTCAGGTATTCCTACTAACCCGCAAGCAGCAGGAGTCACCCTGACACTGGAGCCAGAAGCTTTGCTGGGGAGGGAGGAGTTTCAGTTTCCATTCAACTGATGCTTCTCCCACACTGCAAAGAGAATTCTACTCTGATTTATACTATTCTGTACCAGGTTAAGTTTTAATAAAA